TTTAAAACTTGGACCTGAGTGTTGATCCATTTGGAGACATCTCTTGTCTCCTAACATCATGAACTGACACATTTTAATATTGCAGCAAGAATTTCTTGTTCAAGTTCAGAAGAAATTGATTTTCAAAGATTTTTGAGTCCAGTCTGGCTCTTTTGGGAAATAATCTGTCCTGTTGTACTGAGCAGTTTTTCAATAAGGCCATGGGTGGATCATATCTTCTGGCTGATTCTCTTACGGTGAAATACATTTTGGGTGTATTAGTGGTGCTGCGGGTGCACCCAGCTCAGTGACATATATACTAGAATAAAGCTCTTCTTGAAGGCGGGCCTAACGTTACCTGCCCACTTTGCAGTGGTGCAATGGACCAGCTCCCCTCTCACCATTAGTTACTTTCAAAGTAACAAATAAATCAAAAAGCCGCAACATGAATGTAACTTGTAATGCAACGCGTTATAGAAATGTAGTGTAGTTGAAAGTACAGATACTTGATGTAAAATGTAGTGGAGTAAAAGTATAAAGTACCCACATTTAACTTTACTTAAGTAAAGATACATAAAAAATGTACTTAAGTACAGTAACGAAGTATTTGTACTTCGTTACATCCCACCACTGGGAATAAAGCAACATATCTCAAACCAGTTGGCATGGAGCATCAAAAAGTTGTAAAAGTAAGTGGTGCAAATAAGAAACACTCTGCAGCTAATTAGATTAACTGTGAACAAGTCTGTAAGAGGGCTGGGTATAAAAAGAGCGTTTTAGTAAACGGTGCTGCCTCTACACAACATGCCTCGTCTAAAAAGTGACTGTGGTCACAGCACGTGTAATATTTTCTCAATTAACAGGGAAATCTATAACGTTTCCAAGACATCACTCACATGTAAACTGGGTCTTAGAGCTGCTGGGTTTTCCTCTGGTAATCTGGTTTCCTCCCACATGCCAAAAACACGAACGTTCAGTTAATTAAAAAGTCTAAATTGTCCCTGATGTGAGTGAGAGAGAGGATGGTTGGTTGTTCTCTCTGGACTAAAGCTCAATTAAAATGGACTGAAATCTTCCTCATGGTCAGACAAGATGAAATTTGAAATTATTTTTGAGAACCTCCGTAGGAGAGGGACCATTCAGTCTGTTATCAGCACACAGTTCATAAACCTGCCTCTCTGACTGTATGGGGGTACATTAGTGCAACAAAGTCTAAACAGAAATAAAGTTCAGTTAAATGACCTAAAAGAGCCACCAAGAGGCAAAATGACAACAAAAGGGACAAAAAGTTTCTAAATGACTTAAAAGAAGTTTAAAAAAAGCCAAAATCAAACAAACCACTTTCAGAGAGATTTCACATCATCGCAAAGTCAAAGGTTCTTTATTTGTCATACGCACCACATGTGGTACATGAGGTTGAATAAAATTGTGTTCACAGGGTCCCAGTTACATCCAACAAAAGTACAAACCGGATTCCAAAAAAGTTGGGACACTAAACAAATTGCGAATAAAAACTGAATGCAATGATGTGGTGATGGCAAATGTCAATATTTTATTCATAATATAACATAGATGACAGATCAAAAGTTTAATCTGAGTAAATGTAACATTTTAAAGGAAAAATATGTTGTGACTCAAAATTTCACAGTGTCAACAAATCCCCCAAAAAGTTGGGACAAGTAGCAATAAGTGGCTGGAAAAAGGAAATTGAGCATATAACGAACAGCTGGAAGACCATTTAACACTAATTAGGTCAATTGACAACATGATTGGGTATAAAAAGAGCTTCTCAGAGTGTCAGTGTCTCTCAGAAGCCAAGATGGTCAGAGGATCACCAATTCCACCATTGTTGCGCAGTAAGATAGTGCAGCAATACCAGAATTGTGTTACCAAGCATAAAATAGCAAAGACTTTTAAGTTGTCATCATCAACCATGCATAACATCATCAAAAGATTCAGAGAATCTGGAACAATCGCTGCGCGTAAGGGTCAAGGCTGTAAAACTCTACTGGATGCTCGTGATCTCCGGGCCCTTAAACGTCACTGCACCTCAAACAGGAATGCCACTGTCAAGGAAATAACAGAATGGGCTCAGGAATACTTCCAGAAAGCATTGTCAGTGAACACAATCCACCGTGCCATCCGCCGTTGCCAGCTGAAACTCTACAGTGCAAAGAGGAAGCCATTTCTAAGCAAGCTCCACAAGCTCAGACGTTTGCACTGGGCCAGGGGTCATCTAAAATGGAGTGTGGCAAAATGGAAGACTGTTCTGTGGTCAGATGAGTCACGATTTGAAGTTCTTTATGGAACACTGGGACGCCATGTCATCCGGACCAGAGAGGACAAGGATAGCCCAAGTTGTTATCAACGCTCCGTTCAGAAGCCTGCATCACTGATGGTATGGGGTTGCATGAGCGCTTGTAGCATGGGCAGCTTGCATGTCTGGAAAGGCACCATTAATGCAGAGAACTATGTTCAGGTTCTAGAACAACATATGCTCCCATCTAGACGTCATCTCTTTCAGGGAAGACCCTGCATTTTTCAACACGATAATGCCAGACCACACTCTGCAGCAATCACAACATCATGGCTACGTAGGAGAAGGATCCAGGTACTGAAATGGCCAGCCTGCAGTCCAGATCTTTCACCTATAGAGAACATTTGGCGCATCATAAAGAGGAAGATGCGACAAAGAAGGCCCAAGACGATTGAACAGTTAGAGGCCTGTATTAGACATGAATGGGAGAGCATTCCTATTTCTAAACTTGAGAAACTGGTCTCCTCTGTCCCCAGACGTCTGTTGAGTGTTGTAAGAAGAAGAGGTGATGCCACACAGTGGTAAAAATGGACTTGTCCCAACTTTTTTGGGATTTGTTGATGCCATGAAATTTGGAAACAACAAATTTTTCCCTTACATTCTCTCAGTTTAAACTTTTGATCTGTGATTTGTGTTCTATTCTGAATAAAATATTAGATGTTGGCACCTCCACATCATTGCATTCAGTTTTTATTCACAATTTGTTTAGTGTCCCAACTTTTTTGGAATCCAGTTTGTATAACATGTAAAAGAAAAACAGTAATAAAACCTAAGATATTAACTAAGAAAAACATTAGACTAAAAATCACAGAGGTAAAATATCTACAACTTTCACACAAAAAGGCTAGTTGTAATAAAAACTCCTGTGAAAAGGTCAAACCTCCACGTAAATGATTATTTGCAAAACAAGAATTGATAAATCTCAGCAGGAAGGACCAACCAGCCATAAATTACACACAGTGTTTGTGAGTTCTTGTTTTACTCGACTGAAGAAAATCCATATTTTTTGTCTTCAAATTGTTTAGGACTCGAACGAAACGAACAGCGCGTAACAATCCGAGGTGACTGCACGACTTGAAAGTTTTGGTAAAATCTAATTGCAGTAATTTACGATGGTTGTTTTAATGAATCAAACAACACATTGGAGCTGATCCTTCAGGTTTTCCTGTAGAACGATGATGTGCAGTAAAATGTTTCACATCTGTACTTTCTGTTCAACTTAAACATTAAACAACAAGAGGATCCTGTGTCAGGGGAGGGTTTGGGGGGGGGGGGGGGGTGATGATCCATTTCTCTCAACCTTATCAGCTGCATCCAACCCCCCCTTATAACAATGCCACTGTGTGCAGCCCCTACAGCCTGGACGCCCCCCTTCACCCACATGTGAGATGCTGTTGTGTTATCCTGTCCCCCCACAGCTGGAGCATCTCTCTGTCCACCCCTCCACCCCGCTGCTTTCCCTTCATTCATCCCAAACAACGCCTCCGTTCTTCCAGCCACACTATGCAGATTGTTTGAGAGGACAAGCGAGAAAGAGAAACAGATCGAGGCTGCGGAGGACAATGAAACATCTGGCTGCGCTGAAGCAGTTCATTTTGCTGCTCTGGATTTCTTATCTCATATTCTGTCCAACAGTAAGCAGTGATTTGTGCATTCTTGTGCTTGATGTGCAGACACAACTCTGCTAATTAGGTCATCTGTCATTCCTTCTGTAAACTGGTTACAGTTAGTCATTATTTAGTCACACTTTAAAAAGAACACAAGTAAAATAAAAAATGAAAACACCATCTATTTAGCTCTGCTTTGGTCTTCTCCAGCGTTGAAGCAAGTAAATAGATGGGCTTTCATTTCATTTTATTTTCGTTTACGGTTGAAAGAGCGTTTGTTTTGAATTGTTGCGATTTTGTTAAGTTTATTACGTTATTACAACTGAGCGCAGTTATTGCAAAGGAGAGTGTAGCAGTGCCGCCTCTAAACAAGAAGATGGGGGGGCTGATCTGGGGCCTTCCTGAGTGGAGCTTGCATGTTCTCCTTGTGCAACAGTGGGTTTTCTCTGGGTACTCTGATTTCCAGATGGAAAATAGGTAATTGGTAACTAAATTAACTGTCCCATGGGCGAGAGTGTGGACGGTTGTCTGTCTCATTTTGTCTCTAAGTACCCCAGGAGGAGCAGGTAAAAATCTGGATGGATGTTACTTAAGCCTGACTGAGAACTGCATTGTTGCTTGCAAGATATAAATAAAATAAAAACATTTATTGGAAAAAACTTTTAATAATAAAATAATAATAAGGAAATCAAGCTTCAAAAGATAATAATGAGGATGGGAGACAATTTGCAAACACTTATTTTAAATAGTGGGAGTGGTGGCGCAGAGGGTAGGGAAGGGGCCTCTGATCAGGAGGTCGCCAGTTCGACTCCCCAGATCAGTAACATCAAAATGTGGGTGGAAAAGATGGAAAACCCACACCTGCCTCCACCTTATTTGCCCCACTCTGGGCCCTTGAGCAAGGCGCTTAACCCCCACCATCTTCTGCCAAAACAGGTCTCTCTTGAAAATGAGTCCTCGTGACTCAATGGGACTACTTGTATAAATAAAGGTTAAATAAAAAATAAATAAATATTAGACCCTCTTGCGGTGCAGTACCGTCTCCAGCCGGTAGGTGGAGACACGTGACTCCAAAAGGCGCGGAGGGAAAAATCAAAATGGCGATCCCCGGCCGAGGTAGGTGGACGCGTTGCTATGGTTATAAACAAGTTCGGCTGCAGTCATTTTACACACATTTTATCAGTGATTTTTAACAAGTTGAATAGATCAGTGTTTTCACGTTTTTGATTCTGATGTCATCGCTGTTGCAGGAAGCAGGTCTGCGGGTTTGGTATCCTTTTTTTAAAATCTCATTTAAATGCGTTTTAATGTATAAAACAACGTTCAGCCTGACCAGTTTATGACACAAAACAGCCCCTTTTTGTCATAAAATAAACTTAACTCTGCTCCAAGATGTCCTCGGTGGCTCTGCAGCTGCTGCTGAACGTGACGAGCTTCTACTTCGTCTTCTACTTCCTGTTTACTCTCGGACTGATCGTCAGAAAGAGTTGGTGTCTGTTGTTTCTCTCTGACTCATGTTGATCCTCCAGTGAAACTAAAACCAGGGGATGTGTGCCTGTCAGGCTTGACGCTGTCGTATCCAGCTGATGCTCTCACCTGTGATGTTGCTCTGCTCTTCCTCCTGGCTGCTCTGCACCTTCTCCATTTCTTCTGCGGTAACACAAACACACGTGCAGTTCATCTTATGTCTTAAGGCTTTAGAAGAATCTGTGACACAAAGTGAGTACTGTTTCACATTTCTGTAGCCTAAGCATATATAGTGGTTTGCTGGCTTTGTATATATATTCATGTAAATTACATTTGAATATTTAAAAGGGATGCATCTAATTAAAAACGATGAAATTCTCCATTTTACATTTTGGGAAAACATATGAAACACAAACATGAAGAGGTATGCTGCTGTTTAGACGTACCGGTTCATTGAAGTATGTTGATTTTAACATAACAAATTAGCAGATTAATGACTAGTACACAGGAGTATGAATTCAGTGAAATGTTAATATAAAAACAATGCAATGATTTGTAAATCATTTTAACGTGTCAGTACAGAGAAGATCATATCAAATGGGGGAAAGTTTTTTTTAGGCAGTTTAAACATATTTTTAGAATTTGATTAATTAAACCTATAATGTTTGGAAAGTTATCTTAATGGACTTTGTTTGTTTTAGATTTGCTTGTAATAAGTTTCCATCCATTATCTTGTAATGTGCTTATTTTGTTTATTTATTTTTAGGAATTTGTAGATGCAATAATGAGCTACTTTCACTAACAAAAAGAGATGTTCCTGAGTCCATGCAGGCATTTTTTATAAACAGAGTCACGTTTATTTGTAATTATTGTTTGTTAATAATTATTGTTGCTAATTATAACAACATTAATAATATTATTTGTCATGCAGAGCTGTGTGAAGCCCTGTTTATCTAACGCAGTCAGGTGTATTCACAATATGTTCCACAGATGACAACATCACCAAACATGATTTTTTAAAATTTTTTATCAAACCATTAGTGATAAACCTTGCTCATATATTCTTTCAAAGACGATTGAAAACCTCAAACTTCCTTTTTTTGTAAACATGCAGTCGGCATGCAAATAACTTCATGATGTACACCTTTTTCAATTCATTTTATTTATATAGCGCCAATTCACAACAAAGTTGTCTCAGTGCACTTTACAGAAACATTCAGATACGTAGAAAAGCCAATTAGTAAAGTTCTGTATCTAAGGAAGGAAGCCAGCAGACATTAAATCCTCACTTCATCACAGTCTCCCATCCTGAGCAAGCACAAAGGCAACAGTGGAAAGGAAAAACTCCCTTTTTATTTGTGGGACAGGAGTATGTATAACCAGATACCAATGACAAAAACTGGACTCAAATGATTAAACTGAACAGTCCATACCTATTATCAACACTCCTGACACAAATAAATAAAACCTCTCATTTTTTATATTAAATAAAATATAAATAAAAGTAGTTGTTTAAAAAAGAACAATCATGAGTAATACAAATGTGTTTCTGTGTCTGCAGGTGTGAAGGGCAACCTGACAGAGAGTGAGAGCTATATCCTGGGGAACCTTGTTGTCACAGCGCCCACTATCTTGGTGTCGGTCTACTTCCTGGTGTGGCAGACCTACGTGATGCGGATGGACGTCATCATCAGCAGCATCTTAGTTGCCGTCTATAGCTTAGACGGAGTCATGGCTTTAGTTACCTTAGCCAGATTTGCAAGGTTGGTCCCACTTCCACTAGTTTTTATAGCAGCTAGTACTATCAATCAATCAACCTTTATTTATACAGGTAAATTCCATTGAGCCTCAAGGACTCATTTACAGGAGAGACCTGATTTCAACAAAGAAAGATGACAACAATGGACAACAGCAACAACAATAAACAGTTATAAAAAAAGCATACTACAGTTTTTTTTTTTTTTTTTTTTTAAACAAATAGGATGGGTAAAAGGAAAAGGTAACAAAACAAAAAACAGCTAGATTCCAAGACAAATGTAGAAAACTAAAAGCAGGAACATGTCAGCATTGGACCCTGCCAGGAGTCCAACAGATTCTTAAAGACACTTAGAGAGGTCAAGGTCGAGAGCTTCAAATCTTTTTGTAAGATATTCCAGGAAACAGGAGCGGAATAGGAGAAGGTCCTTTTGCCTAGTTCAGTCCTCACTGAGGGAACACTGCAGGTAATAATGTCCTGAGAGCGCACTCCGTAGCTGCACTCACGCAGAGACATGTAGGAGGAGATGTATGAAGGCAGCAGACCAAGAAGTGATTTAAAGATGAAAATATACCAGTGAGAGAGTCTGCGTGAAGTTAATGGTGACCAGTTAACCAGTGAATACAGGGTGCAGTGGTGGGTACGATAATCACAGCCAGTTATGAATCTTAGTGCACCATGATAGACAGCATCCAACATCTGCAAGGCTCTTGTAGGAGCGTTCATGTAAATAATATCACCATAATCAATTGAGGGAAGGAAAGTCACAGATACAAGGCGTTTTCTAGCATTCAGGGTTAGACAGGATCTGTTTCTGAAAAAGAAACCCAGTTTAACTTTCAGTTTCTTTATCAAGTTTTCCACATGGAGCTTAAAAGAAAGATGTGAGTCGACCAAGATACCCAAATATTTATAGTGACAATCCCGTTTAGTTTTATTGAAAATACTGTTTGCATGTTCTGTTGAGTTACTGTTATGGCAATCCATTAATGATTAATTAATTTATATAAAAATATTTGCCTTTTTCGTTACAAACAGGTCACATTCTTCTTGGTGCATGTTTCATTCACATTTGTGCTTAAAACTCGTAAAATTGAGGGAAAATATCACATTTACTGTTCAGACTACTTTAAATTGAGTTATAATAAATATGTGAATGACATCATCACAGACGTGTCACTGATTCAAAAACAGACCTGTCATTACCGTTCCCTGTCATGTAAAAGATTTTCAACATAAACCTCTAAATTCATGTCGTTTGAAGAGATTTGTGTCGTTTTTGTTCATGTTGTTCCCTCCGTCCTCGTCACATGAAACATAAATGATAGACAGGTTGGTAAATTAAAGTATCTGATGTCAAACATGGACAAAACACCTCATTATACCGAGGCTGGCCTGCATTTTAGGCTCCGTTTGTTTCGACTGACATGATTTATTGATGTAATTAGCATCTCGTATGTTTCTTCTGAAAGGCTGGGCGGCGGTGAGCTTTCCTTGTTTGTTCGTTTTACTTTTTTTCATACTATTGTTAATGAAGTAATAAATCCTGGTTCCTTTGAAGACATGTCTGCATTATTAATAGGAATTGTATTCATTCAAGTAATACTGTAGACCTTGTAGAGAGACGCCACATTCTCTCATTTTCTTTCCAACATGGATTCAGATCCAGTCTTGATAAAGTAAATCACAGCAGATAATGTTTTAAAATCTTAAGAGGGGATACTCTTGTTGTTTACAAGACGATAGTTTTTTATTTTTATTTAACTTTATTAAAGTAACATTTGTTGCAGCTGCAAATTATAATTGTGCTCTATTTTGTGTCTTTCAGTGTTTATTCATGAAGGGGCCTCCTGTTTATCGTCTTCTACAACCACACTGGTTTCCTACACTTTTTATAACATCATTCTGTCATTTGGATTATTTATATTGTAAATAATGGGTTTTTTTTATACTAATTTTTGATAGAATATTCAAATATTGCATATACTGCTTCAATGTTTTTCAATCATTGTGTTCATTTTCTAAGGCTCTCAGTGACAGTTTGAATCAAATATATGCAGAACCAGATAATCTATTTCTGAAAACTGAAACATCACTTGTTGTTGAATTTTTATGTTTTTACTAGTTTTGTCCAGTAGAGGGTAGAGTTGTTTTAATAAATACTTGAATAGTTACTTAATGGATGTTCTTGCTATTTTCTTTCAAGTGCTGTTAAAATATCACCATAAAGTGTTTTGTGTTGAAGTGTAAAGCTTAAAAATCTTAAATCTGGGTCATAGTTTTGCCAGCATGAAAGCCACGTTCGTGTTCTGTCCAGTAGATGCGCACAACAACACCATAAGTTCACAAGTGACATAGATCTGAATAGCAAGAAAACTTTAAACAACCACAAACTCCTGTTGGCTTTTCTTAGTCCCGAGCCATTCATCGTGTAACTCCTCAGCCAGGTGATTTCTCAGCACTGACAGCTGAAGTTAATGATCAAACCCAGGCAGGGACAAGGTTCCCAAAGTAACCACGCTCTACACAAGTGACCTGTGATAGAGCCGACGGTTGAGCAACAGGTGAGTACAGATAAATTCAGGCTGCAGGTCCACTGCGCTGTACTTCTGTCCCTAACATCCTGTGGAGTTTTTGTATAATTTGTTAAAAAAAAAAAAAAACAACAACTGTGATGTTAATGAGTTTCTTTGCAGGTAGAGAGGTCATTCTTATAGTGAGTGACGTTGAAACCCGGGCAGTGATTTAATCTGTCGCTTCTTCTTTCACCCACTGACAGTAATGCTTGTGGTGGCTCAGAGGTTAGAAAAGGTGGGACTGTGATCGGATCGCTGATTCAACTCCTGGTACCAACAACATCAAAATGTGGGTGGGATAGATGAAACACCCACACCTGCCTCCATCCTCTTTTGTCCCACTCTGGGCCCTTGAGCAAGGCCTTTAACCCCCACCATCTGCTCCTCCGGGCACCCTAGACAGCAGCTCTCTGCTCCACACAGAGGGCTGTGGTAGCTCGGTGGTCTGTGGCTGCGTCAGGAAGGGCATCGGACAATAATTGCCAAGTCTTTGTACAACTTAGTTCGCTGTGGTGACCCCTGAAGAAAGGAGCAGCGGAAAGAAGAAAAAAAAAATCATGTCACATTTATTTTATTTTAAAAAGACTCATAAAAGAGAATAATTTTATAATAAAGTTATTTGGTTATTTAGTAAGATGGGCCTTGGCATAAAATGTGTGGGTCTGGGCCCCCTAGGCCCACTCATAGCCACACCCCTGGTCCTGTTTTTAAATTTCACCTGATAAGCTTTAAACGTTAAAATTAATCTTTTGTACGTGTTTAGTCTGAAGAAAATTATGGCCATCGAGTCATTATTAGTTTATTTATTTATTTATTTTCTGGACAGTAAGATAAGAACCACCCCGCAGCTCAAATAAAAAATAATATTGAAAACTTATTTTTAACAGTACTGTACGTGGAGATTCACAAAAGCCCATTTAGTCTCACTCTGCTGTAGTCCAATTTTGACGCCACAGTATTTGTTAGCCCCGCCCTCTTTTAATGACCCGGCCTCGCCCCTTTGTTAACCCCGCCTCTCCTTTAGCCCCGCCCCTTGGGTTACCTGCAGGTTCGCGGTCTCCAGCAGCGGTCGGCGGGCTGTTCGTGCGCAGTGTGGGTCGTGTCTGCTGTGAAACCAGAGGTCACCAGGAGACACCGGGAGGTCATCTGTCCGAGCAGCAGGCAGGTGGGATGGCAGGCTGACGTTTCCCCCACGCGTGTCCACCTGAGCATTCTTTCCCGGGAAACAATAAACACAGTAAGTCCTTCAGGCAGAGAACATCTGCTGCTTGTGTTTCGAACAAAAACACATCTTCACCAACAAGCTGAAAGCTTTGGAGCCACTAACCAGCTCGTGTGACGTGGTTCCGTTTCTCCTGTTTTATTGTTTTATGTTCGTGCCGTTCTGAATCAACCACGTGAGGCTCCTTGAAGATCTGGTTATTGAATCAGCCATGTTTCAGTTTGAAGGAAGGAAAACAGAGTGCACGCTAAGGGTAAACAAACCACTGATACATGTTGTGAAAAACTGTGCACAACTTTATAAAACTAGTGTTGGTGCTCTTCATCTCAGCCTTTGTTTGCACAGAAACAAGCTTTAATGGAGCAGTGTGGATTTCATAATACACATTAATACACTCTGGCATAGATATACTGCATCAATCTAAATGTGCAGCTGTCAGGATGATAGAACATGTCTGCCTTTTTCTTAATTCTTCTTTTAGTCTCGTTAACTTTGGGAGCATCAGGAGTAACAGAAAAAAAGGCAACGTTGAACAAAATGAGACACATGCTGGGTTTTTGTTTTAAGGAACTGCTGATGCACAAAGCCAGTTCTAATGTGATGCACTTACTGGAGTTTTAGGCTGAGACCATCCTGTGTTAAAAAAAAAAATGATGATGTCGCACCCATTTTTTTTGTCAAACCTTGAAAACAAAAACATTCTGCACAACTTTATGCCATACTGCTGCATCTTTATGATTTATCATTCTCTGGTAGCATTCTGAGTATGTGTTGTACTACCACTCATTTCAGCTCAATGTCTGTAAAATTTACTAACATTTAGCCTTTTTTGTTGTTTTCTGAGGTCAGCTGGCCACGGTGGCTGTCTTGAATTGGGTTGAGTCCAAATGTTAATCAAATGCACAGATGAGGAAGGTGAGAACAAAAACTATTGAGAGAAAGACAATAGAGATGATATATGTATATACTTATTTTAATTAACTTTTTATTTAACCAGGTAAATCCTATTGAAATCACAGATCTCTTTTCAAGGGAGGCCTGGGCTTGAAGGTATTAAATGCATGTTTTGGACTGTAAACCGGCGTAAACCCACGCAAATACGAGGAGAACATGCAGTCTCCACACAGAAAGACCCCAGGTCCAAACCGGGGATTGAACCCAAGACCTTCTTTCTGTGAGGCAACAGTGATAGCCACTAAGTTGTCATACTGATCAAATATAATATCTCTAAAATATATAATCCCTCCATAGAGTTCTAGGTCTGCTTGGAAAATGTCATAGGCATTCAGAAGACATCCAATCAATAGTCACCTCACCCGACTGTTTTTGGATACAGAGGAGCAGCAGCCAAGCTCCACCAGCACGACAGAGCTCCTTACCCTGTCTCAAAAGGCTTTTGTTTTATAAAACATCTCAGTCTGGGACTAAGATGCCTTCTAGCTGCCTCAGAGTGACTTCTGAATGGGCCGAGGCTGAGAGTGGAGTTGAAGCCAGCCTACACGTGGTGCACCACTGTGGCGTGGAGCGAGGTAGTAACAGAGGCAAAACAGCTGACGTGAAAAAGTAAGCTGCTGTGCTGCAGTTCAATATTGTGATCAACTGATAAAGGTGTGTCACGCTATTTATTAAGAGGGAATATCGATGACGACGCACAGCGACTTTGTAGTTAGTTTAAAAAAATAATCATAAAGACCAGATGACTAGGGATGCACCAATCCACTTTTTTAAATTCCGATCCGATCCCGATACCTAGATCTGAGTATCGACCGATACCGATCCAGTTCCGATATCATGATCATCATTGATTTTATATGAGGCTGTAATAATCTCCTCTCAAGTACAATTTGTACAAATATATTCATGCATGTCCAAAAAGGCAACTTGAGGTAAGTTTTATTAATGTTGGATGAGTTTTAAAGTTAGAATTAAATTCTAACACAAAACATGTTTCTTTTTATTCCTAGCTTTAAAGTGGATATTAAAGTGATTAATTTAAGTGATGGTTTAAAGTTGTTTTATATTTTATAAGGAGCAGATATAATAATTTTTTCTTCTTTCTGAACTCTTTTCATTCAATGTTTTCTTTTTGATAATTTTTTTTATTTTTATTTTGTTTCATTTAAATGAATGAATAAATGAATTAAATTAAATAAAATGTTAAATTGCTTCAAACACCTGCTAAGTTCATGGCATAAACCAACAGACATGTTCCTGTTTTTAGTATTTTACATCACTTTATAATGTAGCTGATTATGTTTTTAATATATATAATTTTCAAATCATGTTTTTTATGATTGTCTACTGTTGCACTGATAAATATCTCCTGGAGGGTAAACTATATCTTGACTGCAAGTATCAAGCTGAGAAATCCTTTGTTTTCTACAACTGATAGTGGTTGGTCATTAATTATGATGAAGTTTAGCAACTTCTCTGTAAACATTTGAGCTCCGTGGTTTCAGCGACGTCTTCTTGCTCAATCTGAAGCAGGCAGCCTGATTTGTGGCAGCCGCGCTCAGTCTGTCCCTCCTCAGAGACGGGCAGACTGAGCGGGGCAGAGTGGACGCGGCTGGCCGGGGTCGAGTCGCCTGTTGTGGGTTAAGCAAAGAGCAGCGCCCCGCTGAAGCCACGGAGCTCGAATGTCCATCGTAAAACTAACTTTACCGCGGTTTAATGTGGCGCTACGTTGTAGCTGGCTGCAAACTATGAACTGGATTTCCTGAATGTGAGGTGGGTCTTATTACTCTGGGTTCATGAGACACGCTGCCGTTTAGGAAATCCATTCCATAGTTTGAAGCCAACTTGCATCATGGATCGGAAATATCGGCAGGAGGATCGGAAAATCCGATACGTAAATTATGCTGGTATCGGAGGCCGATACGGATACTGGATCGGATCTGCCCCATCCCTACAGATGACCTGATTGAAAATTGTTGGATTGTATACCTGGATTATTGAGCATGGACTTTGTTGGTTTTGAACCAGTTTGACATGACTGTCGACGAGGACAAAAGAAAAAAAATCTGTCCAGATGACCTGACTGAAAATTGTTGGGATTGTATACCTGGATTATTGAGCATGGACTGTGTTAATCATAAAGATAATCGCTAAATTGAGTTAATTTATTGTTTTATAATTGGCACAAGGGAGACGTCCGACACACATCTAATGTGTTGTTCTCCACGTCAACCCAACTGAGTTCTGCTCCATGCCTCACTGCTCTCTTTACTTCTGAAAACTGACGTGGGTGGGAAGCAGCTGGCTCCATCTGTGATTTACCAACAGCCAGAGGGAGGAGAAAGATGGACTGGTCTCTACTTCCATTTTGTGGAACTGGAAGGGCTCATTTTGTATCCAGGACCACATTCAAGATCCATATCTCCTGACCAGGTTAGGGCTGGAATGTAGACAGGCCAATGAACTGAGAGCTTTGCCTTTTGTTTCAACTTTCTTCACCAAGACTGTCGATTTCTCTCCATCCTATCATCTCTCATGAACAAGACGCATAGATACTTAAACCCCTCCCCCTGAGGAAAAGACCCCGCCCCCCCAACTAATCACATGATTCATCTAATTTGGGCCTAATAAAAATACACTAATGACTAAAATGTCCTCTGATAATTTACAACCTCATCAAATATTTATTAAAAAATGTCACTGGTGATGCAGCTGTAACATTTTGTTTGGGGGAGATCTCAGCTGTTCTTTTATTCGAACAGCTAACACATTGCCCTAATGACAGCATTTAGCCGTGCGCTCAGAGGAAAGTGGTGTCGTTTGGTTTTAATGGGCGTAGGAATAAGAGTTGCACCTTAGCCAAACGAGCAGCACTCACTGTTGATGCATGAATCACATTGTTGTTAATGGCAACATTTCCAGCTCTTGTTACAGCACAAGCTGATTCTGTGAAATGACCGCAGGTCCGTCCCGGAAAAGTTTCAGATCAGATCTGCTTTATCTCCGGCCGAATGATTATCCAGGGGCACAGTGTGAAGTCCAGAGCGCTCGTGTAAGATCAGATGTTTGTATAGATTAGGGGAGTTATCGCTGCCAGTTTTGTCTCGTTCAGCAGTACGGTAAAGGTTGTGAGTAAAGGTTATGAAACATTATTTATTATTATTTAGTTTTTGCTGGCCGTGCTTTTATTTAGACTGCTAAAGAGTGCAATCTGTAAGTCCAGAGTTTATTTCAGCACAACGAGCTAGTCAGCAGTGACTAAAGGAGCTTCAGGTGTGTTTTGAGGCGTGTTGTGTTTCTTTGAGCTGAAATGTTAAAAATGTTGGTATTCTTCTTGTTTTAGAGCTTATTGTTGAGCTTTTCAATTCAATTGAGTTTATTTATACAGCACCAAGTCACAACAGAAGTCATCTCAGGGCACTGAACAGAAACGTTCACATACATTAATTCAACCTTCGTTTTATACACGTTAATCCCATTGAGCCTCAGGGACTCATTTACAGGGGAGACCTGATTTTAACAAAGTGATGGCAACAGCAGATAATCATAAAGGATGCAGACAAATTGAGAATAACAAGTGAAAATAAATGGTATTTTAAAAGATGTAACAAAAAACAACTACCGTATTTTTCGGATTATAATGCGCACCGAATTATAAGGTGCAGTATCAATGAACGGGTCTGTTTTCATACATAAAGTGCACTAAGGTGCATTAAGCGAAATAATTTCATTTTGAGAGATTTTTGAGCGCCGTGTATCACATAAAATCAGTTTGACGTCAGTACGCACAACCAGAATTAATACGTAAGGCACACCGAGTTATAAGTCACTGTCGATTTTTGAGAAAATTAAAGGATTTTTAGTGCGCCTTTATAGTCCGAAAAATACGGTAGATTGTAAGGCGATGTAGAAAACTAAAAACAACATGTCTTCATGAACATACGTAAATTAATAAAGTTATTTATCTGGGGAGCCTGAAAAGAAAAAAAAACTCATACATGTTTGTTGCATGTGCTTCAGCCTCAAGCCATGACAAACTCTTTTTTTTAATAGAGTCTATG